TTTTTTCTATTTCTTCACCTCCACCCGCAGAGGTGCTTTTCTTTTCTTTCCGGCTGCTGGTGGGGCAGGAGCTGGGTCGACATCCTTGACATTGTCAAGGTCTATGGGTTCCTGACCGCCTGGGGCCACGGTATCTCGGACGGCTGAGAGATAACACTCCCGGGCCGTCTTCTGATCCCCATTAAGGGAACCCACAGTGCCGTCATCCCTCTCATACTTGATGAGCATGAGAGATGGGATGATTACTGCCTTGGCTACGTTGAGAGTTGGCCGGCCAAGGATGATGTTGTAGGCAGTCAACTCCTCAACGACCAAGAATCTGACGACAATATGTCGTCCCTAGCCTTTCTCCCCCAGCCGGATGGGTAAGTCAATTCTACCGGCTGGGTAGACCATCCCACCCCCAAAACCAACCAAGGGGTGTGTGACCGGATGCATGCTGCTGACATTGTATTTCAGCTTTTGCAGGCACCGGAGGCTGATGATGTCTGATGAGCTACCGGTGTCTATAAGGATCTGTCCAACCAGCAGGTTGGCAACCTTACATTCAATGACCACTGGGTCATCATGAGGGCGGCGGACGCTGCCCCTATCCTTCTCAATGATCAAGACGTCTGGGAAGGAAGAGCTGGCAGACGCTTGCTCATCATCTTCTTTGTCTATCTTTCGAAGATGGCTCTTGGTGCCCCGGATGATAGGGACACCACATGAGAACCCGCCTGCTATAGTGTAGACCGGCTCCTTGTCAGTATCCGAGCTACTAGCAGGCTTGGGGGTAGTCTTGGAGGACTGACCCTTGTTTTTCTTTTTTGCCCCGGCTGGGGACTTGGAAATGTAGGACTTCAACAGCCCTTTGTCAGCCAGACGGTCCAATGCCCGCTGAAGACTGAAGCAGTCGTTGGTGTCATGGCCAACTTCCTCATGGTATTGACAAAATTTATTTTTATTCCTTGATTGAAGGGAACTTTTCATAGGATTCGGCTTCTTTAGGGACAGCCGGTCCTTTATCTCCATGAGGATGGAGTTGCAGTCCTTATTAAACTCGTACTTTGGGGCGTACGGTTTAAATTCTTTCTTCTTCTTCTGGGACGGCTGGTGAGAGTCACCAACCGCCCAGACCTCTTTCCTCTTCTTGCTCTCTTCTTTCCTTTTGGCTGGCTGAGCAGGCCAGTTTTCTTTCTTCTTGTCAGACTTCTTAGAGTCCGACTGGCCTCCAGGAGAGCAGAGGTCGGTAGCTTGAATGTAGTTTTCCGCCTCCCTCAAGGCCGCCTGCAGGGTGAAAGCCCCTTTTCTGACTAGGTCGAACTTAAAGGTCGACCTGTTATCTGAGATGAACACTACAAGAGGGGGAGTGAATTGTAGTTGAGTTCCTAAATAATAATTTTGTAAATAAAAAACAGAACAAAATAGGAACTTGCGATGCACACAAATTTTACGAGGAAACCTTCTAGTGCCCAACTAGAAGTAAAACCTCGACCCTACCTTAGGGATTTCAAACTCAAACAATTCCACTATAATAGGGCAAACACCAAGTTACAACCTATTATAATTCAGCCTATACTCTCAAGTTCGAGAATGAACTTGCTACAGAACAACACCTTGTTCTACCCAGTTTGAGTCCCACACTCAAACTCACTCGTACTCCCTAAGTACAGATCTTTCCCCTTCTCACCAGAAGCTCTCTCTGTATGCAATGATAAAAACACTCTTACCCTGATAAACCCGAAACCAAATACAAGAATTAACACCTAGTATATGATAGGCAAGCTATGCATGAAACTCGAAACTAATATGACAGTATGATAAGCTTGGCAACTTACGCAACTATAGCTCTGTAAATTTTTCACGCATAAAACTCATAAAAAACCTCGGCTCATATTATTCTCTACTATTTATACGAGTATTACCTGTATAAATAGTAGGTTTACATAAAGATAAATAAGTAAAACTTAACTTATCTTAAAACACGGTTTTTTAATTAAATCCTTTGAAGAAAATCTTTTCAGAAAATAATATAGAAATATTGAATTAAAAAGCATAATATCTTTTTAACAAACTGATTTTAAAATATAAATATTTAAAGAAAATCTTTTTCCGATTTCTATCTTTTATCTTTTCCGATTTTAATTTATTTTCCAAGCTAATTGTCACGCTTCTAATAAGTTTCATGTATATCCTACTTAACATATTTAACAATGAATCTAGAAGATAAAATCTTAACTAAAACATTGTTGCGCTGTATTCTTGTTCAGGCAGGTTTACTTGGACTTCACGCTTACTAAGTTCCTCCAAAGATCTTAGTTAGCAATCTTCAAGTTCCTTTGAAGGAACGTTCCTGTGAGAGAACTCGGTTCCTGTTAGGGAACTCTTCTTTTATATTGAATAACTTTCTTGATATAGAACTCCTCCAAGTCTTCTCGGCTTTAGTTACTTCTTCCATCTCCAAGATCAATTTCACCTAGGTTGCACAAACACTTGAAAAGTCTTTATGAGATGAGTTTGCTGTAACTCAAGTTCCTCATCATCAAAACCTTTCAACATCAACAATTTCCCCCTTTTTGATGATGACAAACTAAGCAAACTCTTGAGAAAGTTAAAACAAAATAAAAGGTCGTATTTTTGTATTTTAAATTTATTGACAGAAAATAAACACACAACAGAAATAAAACAAAAACAAAAAGTAAGCTAAGTAAACTAAAAGTAAACGAAACTGAGAAAGTTATGATACTTTCTCAACTGGAACCCAGAACAACTTAAGCCACCATGTTTGCTTCTTCTTTTCCCCCTTTTGGCATTATCAAAAAGTCCTGTATTTTCAAGTTTATTAAACATCCACCAACAGCCCCACAAGAAATTCATCGAGTGTGGGAAACTAAAGGCAGCGCTGCTAAACAACCTCAAGTAAGATCTACTCTTCAGTACAAGTGTTCAAAAGATATAAAAACACACTAGTAAAAGCAGAGTTCCAACTATTCATTCCATAAACCAAAATATTTAACATCCAGATAAAAAATTTTAAAAATTTACAATCAAAATCAATTGTTCAAACATTTAAAAACGAAAATTAAATATGTTCATAACTAAGACAGTGAGAGAAAAAGCTAGGCTAATTTTGAGATGGAGTAGGCTGAACTTGAGATGAAGTAGGCTAGGTTTCAAGAAACTCCAGAATCTTGTTGAAGTCCTCCTTTGTTTGCTTTGCAGAGGCCTCCAACTTTTCTTCAACCACCTTGAGCTTCACTAGGAACTCCTCCTTCTGTTCCCGTAGAGCCTTGTGAAGTTCTTTCTCCTGGAACTCCTTCTGTTCTTGAAGGTCCTTGGTCTGTTTGAGCATCATTCTCTTGAGTTCCTTCAACTCCTTCCCCTGCTCCTGGACCAATTTTTCAAGTGTCAGCACATGAAGTTTTCCAGCAGAGTCCTTCATTTGACTCTCTACCCTCTCCATTCTGTCAGCCAACTCAGCAACTTGCCCTTCAAGGATATTCTCCTCGACATCCAATTCCAGTGGTTGTTCCATGATAGTTTGAGGAACACTACTGGCAGAAATCCTCCTACTCTTCCTGACAGGCTGTTCTGACATAGCCTTTTCCTTCCTCTTCCCTGTCACTTTCTCTTTCTTTTTCTCTCCTTTCGATCTCTAATTTCTGAATTTTTCCCTGTACTACTTCCAGACTTAACCCAGCAAGGGTTTCCTCATTGATCACATTTTATAGCTTCTCATTCAAAGCCCCATATTTTCCTTTTAAGATCACTCCTGCACTTTCAAAAACAGTAGACAAAATGGCTCCATACCCCACTTTTGTCCTACTTGGAACACAATGAGCTAGATGCTGATACATCAAAGAAGGAAAGTTCACCTTAATCTTCTTTGAAATGCAGAAGATTACAGCCATATCCATTAAGCATGCCTCCCCCTTCTTAGCAGTCCTAGGCAGAATAGTCTTTTTCACGAAATTAAACAGCATCTTATTTAAAGGGCTTAGATCATTATGACTCATGACCTTCTTACCCCTCTGACCCCCTAATTCTTCAACTATATCCCCAGCCATGAAATTTCCTACATTGATACTACCCTTTCCCTTCAAGTAAGTATCATAACCTTCAGTAGGAGCTTTTAGAATTTTACCTAGAGTTTCTAGGTCCAATTCAATCTTTACATCATTCACCATGCTCGTTATTATTCCCAATTTTTCCTGAAAATTCTTGCAAAATTCATTCATAGCAGCAGGATACAAGTAATTTGATGAAACCCTAGTCAACAGAAATTCCCAACCTTGAAATTTAATTAAATCAAGAAACTCTAAAAATCTTGCTTTTCTACACCACACAGCGTCAAGATGATGACCTACTACATACCTTCCTGCCATTGATTCAAGTTCGTCTTGATCAGTTGCCTCCTCTTCTTCATCTTCCTTTTCCTTTTCTGAGTTGTTCTCCTCTTCTTTTTCTTCCTCTTCTCCCTCGCTTATTTCCTCTTCTTCTCTGTTCTCCTCTGTTGTCTCTTCTGGGTTCTTCATTTTTGCAAATTCATCAACTTCCTCAATTTTCTCTTCCAGAGACTTCACATTTTGTTTTCTTTCCTTCAACTCCTTTAATTTTTGAAGAACATTCGAGACAGAGGAGTCCCCTTGATCGATTGTACTCTCTACTTCTTTTGGTTTTGGAGGAGATTTCTTAGGGTTTTCAGAAGGTGTTCGAGAGGTAGAAGATGCTTTGTAGTTTACCATGGCTAAAGGAGATGATTCTTCCTGAATTGAGTTTTCTGGACTTTGGGATTCTTCATAGGAAACAAACTCAGCAATGATCACCATTGAAGCTTAAGGAAGGGTTTTAAAGGGGTTTTCAAAGTTTTACTGAGAGGGAGTAAATTTGATGTGACAGTGAGGTGAAAGAAGTGGGTGAAAATTTGCTTTTTATAATAAATGAAGCGGTGGGAGAGAATTAAGGAATTTTTCACTGTTTAGTTATTAATTGAACAAATTCAATTAATTTTTCAAAATTTAAACACTGGATGAATCTTTCAAAGATTTTAAATTTCCAAATTCAGTTAATCTTGATTGAAGTTTCTATAAAACACAATTGGAACACGCTTTCAACAAGTATGCAATGTACAAATTTAATAACTTATACTGTTGAGCAATTTAATGAACTTACCTTTGGTAGTTCACAACGGTGACACTTTAGCTATGTTTATCACACCAAGTTTGTGGTAGAAGTTCTTTTTGCTCTATTTACAATATTTTTGACTTTGCCATATCTTGGAACTTCAGAGGCTAGTACTTCAGCTTGATCATTCAAAGTTCCAGTCTCAATTTCTCAAATCTTTCTCTGTTCAAGGGCTTGGTTAGAATATATGCAATTTGATTTTCAGTTTGGCAAAATTCTAACTTAATATTCCCTTGCTCCACATTATCTTTTAGAAAGTGATGCCTAATGTGGATATGTTTTACCTTTGAGTGTTGAACTGGATCTTTAGAAATACATATAGCACTTGTATTATCACAGTAAATCGGTACACATTTAAAAATAATACAAAAATCTTTGACCTGTTGTTTTATCCATAGAACTTGTGAGCAACATGCTGCTGCAGCTACATACTCAGCTTCTACTGTAGATAAAGCAACTGTGTTTTGCTTCTTGGAACCCCAAGAAACTAAACAAGGTCCTAAAAATTGTACCATACCTGAAGTGCTTTTCCTGTTTACCAATTCACCTGCATAGTCAGCATCTGTAAAACTATTCAAATCAAAAGAATCACTTCTAAGATAGAAGAGACTCAAATCGTCATTTCCTTTAAAGTATCTAAGGATTCTTTTTACTGCTGACAAGTGAGACTCCTTTAGATTTGCTTGGAACCTGGCACACAGACCCACACTAAAAGATATGTCAGGTCTACTCGCTGTTAGATAAAGTAGTGAACCTATCATACCTCGATACATAGATTGATCAATGCAATTTCCAGATGGATCTTCATCCAATCTAGTAGCAATTCCCATAGGAGTATTGTTGGTTTTGGCATTTTCCAACTTGTATTTCTTGATCAGTTCCTTAATATATTTTTGCTGATGAATCATAATTCCCTCTTCAGTTTGCTTAATTTGCAACCCAAGAAAGAAATTTAATTCTCCAGTTGTTTCGGGGTTTTCTGATGTCCTGCGGGAGAGTTACAATTCCGAGACTGGAACCGGACGCCTGTACCTGCAAAATAACGGAGACTCCTGAGAGCTCCGCCTCCAACGGTCAAGTTAGTACCTGATTAAGGAGTAATTAATACAGAAATTAAAGTAATAAGGTCTCTCTAGGTGAGAGTATTTAATGTAGGTAATCTGCTTTGCTAGCGAGATCAGCCGGTTATTAGTGTGTTCCGTAATGTTTCTCCTCCGTTCCGTTAATTATTCGGTCCCTCGATTAATGAGGATTAATCGAGTATTTATAGCCTTGGGAAGCGTGCAACTCTCTAGGTTTAAGGTAAACCTAGGGCCGATCGGGCTTCTAGACTGAAATGGGCCTTGATGGCCGGTTGTCCCATTTGGCATGGGTGGACACGTGGCGTGTCTTAAGTGGTCCGTGGAGGACGCGTGGCGGAACCTGGTTGGTCCACTTGTCAAACGGTGCTTGGTGGATAAAAATCCCCTAATCATTTGCCCCTCACAGGTGGCACGCGACTGGTCACGTGTCGCCTGTGACAGGTGTCGCACGGTGACAGGCGACGGCCCGTTACAGGCGTCACCTTGCAGACGGCCGGGAGATTCTCCCGCCCAAATTTGAATTCGGAAGCGACCCTTCGCCTTCTCATTTTTCCTATAAAAGGAAGTGCTGACTTCGGTCATTTTCACATTTGAGAATTTTTGCGAGAACATTCGGACCCCTGAACTTGCTCTGACATTTTCGGACTTTTTCTGCCTACCGCCTGTTCTGACAAGCCGACTGACCCGAACTTTCAGGACTTCATCAACTGTCATCCGTTCAGGTAACTCAGTTCTCTTACTCTTAATTTTCTTTTTATTTTTTGAAATGGCACCATGGAAGCACACGACACGCCCCAAGTTAGTGATCAGCCGGTCACCGGGAACGGCTGAATCTAGGACTAGGAGTGCCGCCTGCCCTTTTCTGGACCCATCTTTGCCCTTTATACAAAGTCCGACTGAATCTGTGTCTATGCAGAACGTGATGGCCAGAACAAAAAAGACTGCTAGAATATCAAACTCAGACGGCTCCTCCCAAAGGGTACTCCTTAGCGAAACATCTGACCAGGCGCCAGATGTGGAACGAGGCGACTGTCAAGCTGACAGTTCTGAGAGAGGGACCAAGGTGTTCCCTTCTCATCTAACCGTGGACATGTCTAATTTACCTTCTGCTCCTTCTAAGGGAGAGGAGGCGGGCCCCTCTAGGAGAGGGGAGGAGTCGTCCTCTTCGGACTCGTCAGGGGACGAGTCCGATTCCAGCTCTTCTGACCATAGTTCTTCTGACTCAGAAGAAAAACATAACCGCCTACAAGAGGCGAGAAGTTCCCATGCAGTGGAGAAGGGGGATAATTGGGCAGAGCCGTCCGCCTCTTACAGAGAGGAAAACACCCCCTACTACTGCAGGGTGCCCCGGGGCCGGATCGCAACCATGCGAGACAACGTGGCGAGCTTTATTGCTAACCACAAAATGAGCCCGGAATATTTACTGTTTGTGCCGGATCCAGAAGATACTGTCGTCTGGCCGGCTGGTACCAGCTATGGTGACGGCTGTTTTGGCTGCTATGTGGCGGCCATCAAAGCTGGTCTGCGCTTCCCATTACATCCGGCTGTTCAGCGGATTTTAGATGGGTATGATCTGGGGTTATGGCAGTTAGCCCCCAACTCTTGGGTAAACGTACTCGGCTATGTGGCCGGGTGCGAACTGAACGGGGTGGAGCCAAGTTTTGAGGCTTTCGCCCACATGAACTATCTCAGCCGGACCCCTAAGTCGGGAGGTACCGGCTGGTATCAACTAACAAGCCACAGGGGTTACCTCATGACGAGAGGTAAGGCAAACAAATGGAAGGATTGGCGGAACACCTTCCTTATTATCGAGAGTTCAGACACGGAGCTGAACAAACGTTTTAACAAGTGGAACAGAGATCCGCCTCTTCTTGCAGGCGGCCGCAGCATGCCGCCTGTTCCCCCAAAGGCTAAAAGAGAGATCCTAGACAAAGGACTCTTCAAAGTAGAGACTAGGGTGAACTCTACTTCAGGGGTACGAGAGCAAGTACCCCTACACTGCGTCCCGAGCTTCAAGTGGCTCTATGATGAGTACTTCTTGGCCGCCTGTGGCCTCGGCAGTCGGTGCTCTAGAGGTAGCCGGCCTGACGAATACTCTGTTTTCTCACGCCTTGTTTACTTGGGATTTTTACTAACTTTGCTGTTTATTTCTTTCAGCCGACGCCATGAGTAAAATAACAGCATCTAAGACTGCGGCGGCCATGCTGCGGGTTTCGCTAATGAAGCAGTCGTACGCCGACTCCCCCAGCAAGGAGGCACCCTTGGTAAGCTTTGAAAACTCTTCCCCTTTAAGTTGTATTATGCATATACTAACTCTTTTTGTTTTCAGTCTGGCACTCCAAAGGCTTCTTCCTCGCAACAGCCGGACCCCAAGGCCCGGAGGACGACTGTTGCAAGCTCTCCTGGGTCTTCCAGGAAAACAGTGGCGGCTGAGAAGCAGCCGGCCACTTCTTCAAAAACCCAAGCGGGGCCGCCTAGATGTATGGACCCTTGCTTGTAAAAACTCACTCTTGCTTCCTTCTTGATTAGGTCTAACTTGTTTTTCCTTCTGCTTAATGCAGCCGGCCCCCAGGGACTTGACTTGGTTGAGGTAGCCAAGTCAATGGTTAAAGTAGTTCCTCCCTCTGACAGGGAGGCGGTCAAGGGTGCCGGCACCCTTGACCTCGATGGAATTTCGGGGATCCTAGCTGAGGTATACCCTTTTGAAGTTCCAGGACGCCTGTTAACCCTTTTGATTGGAAACTGACGCCTGTTTTTCTTTGTACTTAGGCCCTGCTCCGAGTCAACAGCCTTCGCAAGCCGATTGATCGGAAAAACAAAGAGGTAAAGGCCGCAAAGGCTATGGCCGCCTCCAGCTGTGATAAAGCAATGTTTCAAATTGCCCAAAATGAAGTACTGACCATTGATCTTCTTTATTATCAGGCGCAGGCGACCGCCGCTGTTCGGGCTCAGCTAGAGGCGGCCCAAAAGAAGGTTGACGAGCTGGAGGGGACCGTCACCAAACTTAAAGCCGAGCTGAAGCCCCTTCGTCAGAAAATGCACTCTTACGAAGCCATGGAGAAATCTTTGGCTAACGTAAAAGAACGCCTGGTGAACCAGGAGAAGAGTCTTACCCAAGAGCTCTCGGACAAGGCCGAGCAAGAGAAACAAGAGCTCGTCCGGGAGATGGTGGAAGACTCCGCCCAAATCCAACGCATGACCTGGGAACGACTGTTCCCCAGTGCCGACTTTGCCTCATGGGAAAGAACGTACCGCCAGTGTTCGGAAATATATAATCAACAGATCCTGGCGGCTGCTGAAGAAGAGGCGATGGACGTTGCGTTGGAGGAGGAAGAGCCTGTTGTGGCGCTTGTGCCACTTGGGGGTAAGGCATCAAAAGATGATGCAGCTAAGGCCGAGTCCAGCAAGAAGAGTGCTGACCAGGCGGCTGCTGCTGATACTGAACTGCCCCCTTCTTAAGCTTTAAGTATATTTTTTCTTTTCACGGCCTGCGTGCCGTTTGCTTTGTAATTACCCGGCCAGGGGGCCGGGGTTTTGAATATTCTGCTGGTCTTTATGGCCGGCTCATTTTAATCAAATTTTTTGTTTTTGTTCAAATTTGTCTAAGTATTTGAAATTTGCTCACTAGACAGACTGTTGTGCATGGCCGAACGTTAAGACAGGTACAAATAGTAAGTATGCCGCCTATGCCCCTGGACGACTGGTTGTCTGTTTCCAGGATAGATGATCAGTCGGCCATTTAATCAATCGGTATTCGAACTCTTTATTCAATTTGACCAAGTAAATAGAATTACCAAGTAGCCAAGGAATTTAAGTAGGAAAACAAGCAGCGGGTACCGGTTGTTTCCCTTTATTGCCAATGTTGGCCTCTAATTTGTTATTTGTTAACCTAGCAAGAGTATTGGTTGAGAGCCTTTGTTTATTAAAAACAAGTGGACGACTCGTACCTTTTAGGCTCAGTACTAAGTTTGAGTGACTATTAAGTTAACATAGGAGTTACTTAGTCTTCGTCACAATCTTGATTGAGTAGTAAAGGTATCAGGCGGCGTAGGCCGGCTAGACCCCTTGATTTACCAATGTTTGTTGGCTATTTACTCAATAGGTTATCCAGTAGGAATAGGGGTTCGAGTGCCCTTGTTTGTATAAAACAGGCGGACGACTCAAACTTTTTAGGTTCCATACCAAATTTGAAGGAGTGACTATGAGTTAACTTTGGAGTTACTCAGTCGCCGTCACTTTTGTTTGAGAAGTAGAGGTACCAGGCGGCGTAGACCGGCTAGACCCCTTGATTCGCCAATGTTTGTTGGCTATTAACTCAATAGGTTATCCAGTAGGAATAGGGGTTCGAGTGCCCTTGTTTGTATAAAACAGGCGGACGACTCAAACTTTTTAGGTTCCATACCAAATTTGAAGGAGTGACTATGAGTTAACTTTGGAGTTACTCAGTCGCCGTCACTTTTGTTTGAGAAGTAGAGGTACCAGGCGGCGTAGGCCGGCTAGACCCCTTGATTCGCCAATGTTTGTTGGCTATTATCTCAATAGGTACCCCCTGCATTTATCCCAAGTAATACAGGCGGTCATCTGACTCAGATGTCAACTGCTACCACTGGTTTGGTTAGTGATAGAGTTATCCTTGTCTCAAAAACGGCTACGTGGTTGCCCTTTGGGACAGTCGTATAGGTGCCGTGTAATTAGTTTATAGAACAATGTTCCACCCAAAAGGGAGCTGCTCTCTGCGACGAATTTCA